CTCCCCTTTGACTTGTCCCTTTGCCAGGCCATGTAATAATCCTGCGTGGACTGTTGTGAACATCGTTAGGAGTGAATTTTGTGCAGCACTGATCGTGCTTTTCTGCCATCCACTTGGATTAACACTCTCATTGGAAAAAAAAAAAAGAACCTTTTACATGGGCCAGCATGAGTCTCCTGTTCCTCAGTGAGCTCCTCCAAGCACAAAGTTAACTGCTCTGCAATTAATTGCTGTAGGATTTTAGTAGAACATCTGGGCACATACGTGGGAAATGTTTTCCAGCTATTGCAGAAGCTCGAATGGTTGCGCTGGCATCCTGGTGGCTGCAGGTAAAGTTCATTAGAGGGTGAAGGGGGAGAACCTGCGCTGCTCTGAGTGCTCCTGTAGTAGTGAAGCTGTGTTCACACGGCAGCGGGTGCTGCTTTAGCTCTAGCAGTTACAAACCAGCTGCTCTCAGGCAGGTAAAACGGTGGTTGTCAGCTTTGGTGTGAGTGACATGAGCATGCTGATCTCTCAGCCCACTGTAGGGAGAGGGTGACTGTGTGTTCCTACTGCCTGATGGCTTGGCTTCACCTGCTCACTGCTTTTTCCCTTACAGCTCAGGTTTAGATGACATCCCAAAGCACTAGGATGTACTGGTTCCATACTGGTTTATGCCTCGTTGTTTAGTATAGCTTAGACTGCCTCCCAAACTGGTGCAACACAAGCCCATCCGAAATGTGAGTGAGTCTGTAGCTTACATTTGACCCGGCGAACTGTACTGCCGCAAAGTTAGACATCAGGCACTGAAATTAGAATTAATCTCCAAGAAGTGTCAGACTTGTGTGGTTCTGCACAAGCCTCACTTGTGTCTATGCTTCCCAGCAATACAGCTGTTGATAAAAGGATGGTATCTTGTTTTTTGAGGCCCCTTGCCTTATTCAGAGTGGATGATAGACCATCTCCAGGGCTGAGCCATGCTTGGCACAGAGGATGCTGTCTGTAGGGCTCTGGTTGTGTTTGCTGCAAAGTTGTGGTACATGGGATGTGGAGCTGCAGGAGGGAGGAAAATCATCTCAGTTTTTGGCAGCCCTGGGTGTCTCTCTTGCCTGTGCTCAGTGAGGTCTTTGGCTGCAGGACAGTCACCTCTTGTTCCTCATTCTGCATGGGTCTCATAGTGATTTGGAGAAGTGCGACTGCAGTCAGTTAAGTGTTGCAATTGGACAGAATATGGTGCTCAGTTCCATGGTGCAAAGTACTCTGAAAAATGTTGAAAGGGCTGCAAACCCTCCGGCATATCTTAAAGTAGTCATTAATTAGGGAACTGGGATGATGGGTCTGTCTAGATGGCTATTGTAAGGGTTTTCCTTCTGAGATGGCTGGTGCAGGTCCCAGCCTCTGTGAGCAGGATGCTCCTATTCTTTTTTCCCTGCTGATGCTGACCTGTAGCATAAACTGCTTTTTGCTCTCTCGTGTGGCCTGCCGGGCTCTCAGCATGTGCCTGTGTATGTTGTGGACTAAGAAGGAATTCCCTGCAACTTAAATCTTATCTCAGGCTTTCTCTGTGCCCAGCTGTGAGCTATCACAAGCCCATGTATCCCCAGGACAAACTCATTTTTATGGTCCCTCCCCATGAAAAAATCCATCCTGCCGTGTGCCAGGAGGTCTTGCTGGGATGTGGCTTTGCTGCGGCTGCATCTGTGCCGCTGGGTGCTTCATGGTGGGAGTCACCTGCCAAAATCACTGTGAAGTTGTTTAAACTGCGTGGAGGCACGGCACTGACCTGTAGCATAAACTGCTTTTTGGTCTCTCGTGTGGCCTGCCGGGCTCTCAGCATGTGCCTGTGTATGTTGTGGACTAAGAAGGAATTCCCTGCAACTTAAATCTTATCTCAGGCTTTCTCTGTGCCCAGCTGTGAGCTATCACAAGCCCATGTATCCCCAGGACAAACTCATTTTTATGGTCCCTCCCCATGAAAAAATCCATCCTGCCGTGTGCCAGGAGGTCTTGCTGGGATGTGGCTTTGCTGCGGCTGCATCTGTGCCGCTGGGTGCTTCATGGTGGGAGTCACCTGCCAAAATCACTGTGAAGTTGTTTAAACTGCGTGGCGGCACTTGCAACCTTCCCATGGTGGATGGGGGAAAATAAGCAGCAAAAGGTCTTGATCTCCTCCTGTGGCAAACGTCAGATGAACTTCACCCAGAGGCACCTTTTCTCCCCTGTAGACTTACAGGCAGCTCAGAGGAAGGTGTCCCCACGGCTGATGTCTTGCTTTGGGCAGATGAACCCTGCTGTTCGGGACAAACAGAGCCTCTTCCTTTGCTGCTGCTGTAAAGGGGAAAAAATGTGCCATGGAGGCAAAGGGGAGCAGCTGGCTCCAAACCACTGGGCAGTTTGTCCCTGAGTGTGCTTGCAGATGCCCTGGCTGTGGAGCAGGGAGCGGTGGCAGGAGTAATGAGGCAGGAGTACTGAGGCAGGGGGCTGCCTGCATGAGGCTACCCACCGAAATCAAGGCTGGTGGGTCCCAGAGATGGGCTCTGCCAGCTGTCGTGTTTGGAAGGGGATGGGGGACCCAGACAAACTGTATCCAGCGTTGTGTTATTCCTGACGAGGGGTCTGACACAGGTGGGCACGGGTGGAAAAGGGACCAGTGGGCTCCCACGCTGTGCGGGCGCGGGCATCTCTGCTGCCTGGGCTGGCAAGGGGATGCTGCTGGATGTTTCTGCCCTCCAAGGAAACTCCTGAACCAGGTCGGGCCCTCCTCCTGGTGCAGGGGGAAAAAACAGGCTCTGGAGAGAAACAGTTTGTGTCCTTTTAAGGCAATGCAAAGGCTGGGACTGGAACGATCAAGCTGGAAGGGAGGGATTTGGCACACAGGGCTGCGCAGTGGTGGGAAGCCCAGCCTGCAGGGCGTGCAGAAAAGAGACTTCCCGGCTGCTGCGATCACACCCCAAACACAGCTCCTTGGATCCCTGGAGCCAGCACAGCCTCCCCTCCAGCCCCTGCTCCTGGCACCCTCTGCAGCTCCGTCTGTCTGTCCTGGGCTTAGGCGACTCTGTCCATCCAAGAGCCGGGAGCTGTGGCTGGGCTGGAGCGGGGCCAGCGCCTCTGCGCAGCCCTGCCAGCGCGTCAGCCCTGACCCGCACCCTGCCTGCCCTGCCTGCTGTTATAATCAGGTTGAGATCAATTTCCCTTTTCTATTGCCTGACCAAATACTCTTACACAGGGAAGAGCTCGACTTTCCCATATACTGGAAGGTCCAGAGATCTCGCTGTGCCTGTGAGCAGAGGGTTTGCAGCGCTTTGTCCTCCCTCATCCCTCCGTATGATGTTTATACAGCCCCTAGTCCTGTTGTATTTAGCATCCATCTCCTCGACTGCCTGCCAGGCAGGGCAGTGGCGCTGGCTCAGCCGTTGGGTGGGGGACTGGAGACCCAGAGATGGGGCTTCAGCTGCCCACGGTGACTCCGGGATTCAGAGCTGCTGCAAGGAGTGGGCTCAAAGGCTGTTCCCCTGGTGTGCCCCAGTGGACCCAGATCCCTTTCCTCGTAGCCATGCAGCCGAGCCGAGGGAGGTGATGAGCTCCTGCACGTGCTGTGGGGTGGCACACAGTGTAGTATGAAAATGGTGTTTGGTTTTGGGGACCTTGTCCTGCTGCTTTAGCTGTTCAGGAGTTTGGAAGCATACGGCTGTGCCTGCAAAGGGGAGGGTGACTTTCTGCTGCCTGTTCCCATGTGGGACAGGATGGAGAATTACAGAAGTGTTGATGGAGAGAGGCCTCTGGCGACCTCCCAAGCTGCAGCTTGTGCCCATTGACCCTTCTCATATCACTGGGCACCACCAAAAAGTGTTTTGTTTTGTTGTCTTTGTAGCAATCCTAGGTTGCTGTTAGATCCTCCTCAGCCTCCTCTGGGCCACACTCAACCAGCCTGCCTCCCTCAGCATCTCCTTATAGGACTTTGTTGTTTGAATGTCTTGAGGTTTATGTTGGCCCCATCTTCAAAAGTATCAAGGCCCTCTGTGTTGGAGCTCTGCCACTTGCGTTAGCTGCTCATAGTATTTTGGGGTTATCTGAAAATTTCCAGATCAAGGGGCCTCTTGATCATGTCTCATCAGATACATTCAGGAAAGAGGAGAGAGAAATAGAAGCACTTATGTCCTGCCAAGGAGCTGCATGGTAGCTTAGGTTGGTGCTCAGGTGTTTGCCCTGCACCTGAGCCTGTGTCCCTGGGGCTGCTGATTTCCCAGCCTCCGTGACTGTACCTGCAGTCCTGGATGAGACTGAGATGCCTGAATACAGGCGGAACCTGTGAGCAGTTGGCCAGGCAAGGCACAGGCTAATGATGCTATGGGGGACACGGTGCCAGAGCCCGCTGTGTTTGGTGGTATCAAGGGTCAGCTCCTGCCCTTTGGGCAACCCTGACTATACCCCTGCCCTGCAGTGGCAGAAATGGAAGAGATGTTCGGGGAGGAGAAGCTGGAACTGTTTCCAGCAGGGGTGACAACCTGTACACTCTCCAGCACCAAGGATCAGTCACCCTGGCCATTGCTGCGTTGCCCTGTCGAGAGGTGATAGGAGGGTTGTGATCTAACGAGGTGCCGGCACTGTGGGTACCTCTGTGAGTGCTGCCTCCCATCATTGGCCCGCTTCCTCCCTTTTCCTGGCACAGAGAGGGGCTGTGAGGTCCCACAGCTTCCAGGACAGGGGGATTTCTGCTGCTCCTGGCTGGCAGGACCAGTGGTCCCTAGGAGGCAGCTGATACTGCTGGGTGCTGTAACAATGGGTCCCGTGGGCATCCTGACTTCTGCTAATTCTGCTAATTACCAGCCCTGCGAATCTGTGCAAACAGCAAACATCCGTGGGTGGTCTCCGCATGTGCGGATGTGGAAGGGCTGCTGGAGCGCTGCTGGTGGGTGCCCGCTCCGGCTGCCTCGCTCTGCCCCATCCCTGCCTCCTGCCCGGCCAGCGCCCTGCCTGGCCTCCCGCCCTGACGCTGTTTCTGCCTGTGCTTTTTCTACAGTATGCCGAACTGGGGAGGAGGAAAGAAGTGTGGCGTGTGTCAGAAGGCGGTGTACTTCGCTGAGGAGGTGCAATGTGAAGGCAGCAGCTTCCACAAGTCCTGCTTCTTGTGCAGTGAGTACTAGCCCTTCCCTCACCCCTCCCGCCCTGCTTCCTGGCTCTCCGCCGGCTGGGCGCCCCGTCATGTCCTGTTTATGGGCCGTGTAAACGCTCATTAGGATTCCTCTACAAACAGCCTGGCTGTGGGAGCCGTATGGCAGGCTTTCTGCTTTTCTCCAGACTTGGAAGTTAGTTCTGCTGAAGGAACACAGATCATCCCAGGACACCAGGGGCCATCCAAGCTGTCCGGGCTGACCTCAGCCAGCACCCACTCAAAGACTTAGTCTGTCCCTACACCAGGGAAAGGCTAGGCTGAGTCCTCTAGACTATCTCCAGATGTTCAAGATTGGAGCATAAGACAGGGACCCTCCAAACAGTGGAGGCAGGAGGTGGTACATCCCATGCACTGCTCTGGGGTGATGCTAGCTTTAGTCTTCTAAGTGGCTTTGCCGCTTTGGGAACTGGCATGGGATCTGCCCCTGTGTCTCAGGAGATGATGGGAAGAAGATGTGGTCCTGTCCTGGCCCTTCTGCTGATGGAAGGCCTACTGTGAAGTGCTAAAGCGTCACCTCCAGCCTGCCTGGAAGTCTGCTATTGTGGAGGGTGTCTTTGTTGTATGTTTGGACCCAAGTGTCACCTCAGGGAAGGGCAGCACAGCAGGATCTGGCTGTGGATTAGAGGTCCCTTCCTCTGCCTGCTCTGCAGGAACCTACAAATCCTCTTGGGTTCATGCTGCAGGAAGAAACCCTTCCCGTGCCTTTGGGGATACCAGGGCAGCAGTGCAGGGACAGGCAAGTAGTGTTACAGTGCTGAGAGCAGCTCCTTAAACCTGGGGCATCCACATCCAGGGGGGCTGCAGGACCTTTGAACAAAAAGATGACCACTGTCCTCAGCCTGTGTTTTACCAGATTTCTGTCCCCTCCCCTTGAAGACTATCACATAACAGAACTAGTGATTCTCATGTGTTGACAGGAGTGTGCATGTTGCTTGTGTCCACTGATGGCTCATCAAGACACTATTCCCGCTGCTCTGTGACAGATGCAGAAGTGCATCTTCAGAGCTGTCCTTGCAGCAAGGTCCCACTGAGGTTTAACATTTTCTCAGCTGGTCCCTGTACCCTGTTCCCAGTGTCACCATCCCGTTGCAGCAGGGAGCACAGATGTGATCTTTTCCATACGGGCAACAAGCAGAGCTAGGGTCTATAAACAGGCACACAGCTAGAACTAATCTCAGTAGGCCTATTCCGGCTGGGAAATACCAGCGTCCTCATGGGGCCGATCCCTGTCGTGCTCCTGTGTCCACCTGGCACGGATACTGGATACTGGATACTTCTTGGCCAGCCTGCCTGGGACGCGGCATGCACAGATGGATGCAGATGTGAGAGAGGGAAGCTGTTGCCGCGTCTCTGCTCCCTGTGCAGTGTGAAGAGTGGCCAGCGTGGGAGTTTCCAGGCTGGAAACCTTGCTTTGGCTTGAAAGGACTAAGAAGGGGAGTTGCAGAGAGGCTTTCCCCGGGCGGGCAGGGGGGTGGCAAGGCTGTGTCCTTATTGTGGCCGCTCTCTGCAGCAGGAAGTCATGTTTCTTCTGCAGCCTCAGATAAGGAAGGTGGGGAATGTTGCCCTCATCTCCCCCCCACCACTGGCTTTTACCATCTGAGTCCATGTCAATGAAGGACCTTAGTATGGGGACTAAGACCCCGTTGCACTGCATCTGCCCTTCCCCATGACCCCTGTGCACACAGCTGGATTGCTTAGGGAAAGATTCTGCCGTGCGATGCTGGCACCCAGGGCATGGGGCAGGCCTCCAGGAGCCATGAAATCAGGCAGAAGGCATTCCTTTGAGAAGGGAATACCTGGCCAAAGCGGGGAAGAAGGTCATCCCAAGTCTGCTCATGGAAGCAAGTCACCAGGGAGTGGTCCAGAGCCGACTACAGCCAGGGCTCCTGTCCCTGTGCTTTGCAGACGTACGTAATCACACTCCACACGTACCCCAGCAGTTCTGCCCGTCCCGGCTGTGGGGTCCCCGGTTCAGGCCGTGGCTTGCGTGGCAGCCCACAGTGCTGCCTGCTGTTCCCAGTCCTGTGCCACAGGCTGCAGGTGATGCTGAGCTGCACCGAACTCCTGCATTCCCAGCCTATTCCCCAGTGCTGCATTTGGGCCTCATCAGGGAACTTGAAGCCATTATCTTTAGGGGAGAAAAACAAATACTTTGATCTGATATGCCAAAAAAATAATCAAAAAGGAGCCAAACCTACCACAGTGCATTAGAACTGGAGATCGGCTCAGGGAGTGACTTGGTGATTGACTCAGTGGCATCGATCCAACTGAGTCAATAGTACATAGCAGAAATGTACTATAATGAGGCCATTTGGCCTCTGAAAGTAGCAGCAGCTCTTGTCTAATTGTTTTGTGGAGCAACTCCGCTGCTCTTAGAAAAACAAAGGGTCCTTAACTCAATGAGTGCGGCGCACTGGAATTTCTGCAATGCAGAAACCCGGGACCTGGGGGCTGATTTCTAGGAAGTAGACTGGGAAAGAATTTTTCTGCTGCCTCTCGAAGCGTCTGTGACTCCTGCAGATGAGGGACTGTGAAAGCTTAGGTTAGAGCTCTAAATCCACCCAGCACTGTGGGAGAGAAAGACAGATGCCATTGAGATCGTTCACTCCCACCCTTAGGAAAAAGCTCTTTAAACCTGCCAGTAAAAGTGCCCAAATTCCCCTCCTGGGGGGTCTGTCTGAATGCAACGTTGCTCCTGAGGAGCTCCAGGGTAATGCAGAGACAACCCCAACACCAGCCCATTAGCTTGGCAGCTACGGGACCAGTTTACCAGAGCTGGTCTTTCTCAACAGGGATGCGTGCTCCATCCCCAGCTCCTGCTGTGGTGGGACGGGGGAGCCCGTAGCCAGGAGAGGACGCTGCCAGATCCTCCTTAGATGGCAGGAGACGTTTCCCTTTCCACCTCCTTCTCCCAGCAGCAGCACACGGGGTTCTCCGTGGCCCCGGAGGAAAAGCACCATATTTAGTAATCGGGCTGAGGAAGGCTGCCTCTCGCCCCCACGTTTAGTGCTGCGGTTTGCGCTGCTCCGAGGGGAGAGCTCTGCTGTGTTTGCATTCCTGCGATATTGGTAAAGGCCAAGAAACTTTTCTGCTGGCAAAGAGACTAACGGGCTGCTGGGAGCCTTGACATTTAAGGCATGTAAGTGGGATGGGGGAAGGCTGTGTCGCAGCTGTAACAGGATCTGTTTCGGGGCTGGCTGCCAGCGCTGTGGACTCTGCCCCAGGCATCTGGATCCTGCACCGGGGCAGGTAAATACTGGAGATCACTGTGGGCCCCGTTTGGGTGCTGCTCCCCTCTTGTTCCGGCTTGCTGGGCAGCGTGTTCCAGGAAGGGTTTGGAAGCCGACGTGGAGGCTGAGATCAGAGCTGGGACACGAGTCAGGAAAACCTAAAAGTTGGGAGAAGAGTCTGTGTGGCCTGAGCCCAGCACCAAGCTCAAGCTCTGGATGAGCTCAGCTGGGACCCCAAGCCTGGCTGCTGCCTCCTCCTGTCCCATCTTATGTCCCATATTGATCCCCAAGGCTTGAAAACCCAGCTGAGGTAGCGGTCCTCAGCTGAGACCACCCTATGCACACACTGTAATCATGTCACAGACCAGGGGTGACACACATGAACATCTTCCATCGTGGTCTTGGGGTCTGGAGAGTCAACTGTGCACAATAGCGTAATGTGTCAAAAAACTTACAGCGCATCAGCTGTGGAAATGGCTGCAGGTCTGCTTTTAGTCTGCCTAAACACGAGGAAAAATAGATTTGCTTTCATTACTTTCCCCCAAGTCCCTATCTCTGCGTATTTGCAGCGGACTAGGAGTGTGGCAGAGCTGCAGCTGCAGCGGGGCAGGGATGTCCATCCCTGTGCTTGTGAATCCTGCAGTGATTCGTAGGGAAATTTCAAACCCCCTTGTTTAAGCGCATCTCCAGGATACCAGCATCAAGAGGGTTAACAGAGCTTTTTCTTAGTATCAACCTTGTAGCTTTGGTGGTTGCTTCCTTTTAAAGCCAGACAATGTTCTTGTTGTGATCCTTATCTCTGGCTGTTTTGCATGCACTCCGTTTAACCAGGAGGATCTCGTCTAGGGTTTCCTTGCTCCTTGAAAGCTAAGCTGTACCATCCCTTGTGAGGACTTGTTTTCTCCATCTAATTAGTGAGCTCTGGATGTGCAGGCTAATGGCACGGCCCTCCCCTCTTTTCTAGTGGTCTGTAAGAAGAACTTGGACAGCACCACTGTTGCTGTGCATGGAGAGGAGATCTACTGCAAGTCCTGCTACGGCAAGAAGTACGGCCCCAAGGGCTATGGATACGGGCAGGGAGCAGGGACCCTGAGCACTGACAAGGGCGAGTCCCTGGGAATCAAATATGAAGAGTGAGTTTAACTCTTGTTTTCAAAACTGGGGCTGTTGTGGGCACCTTCTCCCCCACATCGGTCTGCTTGTGATGCTTGGCTGTGTAGCCCATGCTGAACTTCCAGCAGTTCCTAATCTGGAGAGTGCCGTGGGCTGCCCTGCCTTTCTGCTCCTTGGGGGAAACCCGCTGAACTCTGTTTGCAGGGTGGGATGGGGCTTGATGGGACATGTCCCCATTGCCTGAGCATGCTGCCCATCCCCTCCTAGTATGCAGCCGTGAGGCTGAAGTTTCCATGGGGCTCAACATATTGTGCCTAAAGCTCTGGGCCCTTCAAAACTAGGCTGGGATTTGTGATCCCATAGCATTTACCTCCTCCATGCTGCTTGTGCAGCCTTGATGACGAACTCCCTCCCATCCACAGGGGCCAGCCCCACCGACCCACCAACCCTAATGCATCCAGAATGGCCCAGAAAATCGGAGGTGCTGATGGGTGCCCTCGCTGTGGTCAAGCAGTATATGCAGCCGAGAAGGTGATTGGAGCTGGAAAGGTAAGAAGGGGGATGGAGTGGACGGGCACGCACATGCCACAAGATGCTGTGTGGCAGGGAGACCTTCAGAGAAGGTCTTGACCTGACCCACAGGCTGCTGCAGGCTGGGCTGCCAGCGCCTCCAGCCAGGGCTGGGCTCGGGGTCCGGTGGCCATGCTCACCTGGAAGCCTGGCACCAAAAGGAGAGCTGGGCATGTCTGAAAACCAGGTTCTCCAGGCTGCGTCCCTCTTACAGACTTGCAGATGGGAGAGAAATACATTTTATACTAAATACTCGGAGTGCTGCTCAGCAGAGGTCACAGTGGATGTCCCTGCTGCTAGATTTGTTGGGAGGATGAGCAGTGATGTGGGCCATGGCCACTGCCACCGCTAACTGAACAAGTGCAACATCCAGCGAGCCTTCTCCACCCTCTGCCACAGGCTGGGATGCCGCAGCTCGAATTCGGGACAGGGAACGAATTCCAGTGGTCAGCGCTGCCCATAGGCAGGGCAAGGTGGTTGGAGGTGTGGGCACAGGCTCGGTGCATCTCTCTTGGGCTGTTCTGCTGGTGGACTGGGTCTGCTCAGGGTCAGATGTAAAGGACACACTGCAACGGTCCTGGTACTTCCTATGTCAAGTTCATCACTTCACCAGGGTCCTTTGCGTCCCGAGCTGTGGCCTCGTCCTAGCCCAGCTCTGGGAAGCCCTCTGTAAGGCATAGTGACGCCTCCTGCTCTGTCAGCCCTGGGACCCCGGGTGAGGTCCCTGCCTTGAAGCAGCCTTCTCTCCAAGGTCGGGTACATGTGTAGAGCTTGCCAAGGCAGCTGGGTCAGGCTGCTTGGCTTTGTGCCGCGGGGGATGGGATGGCCGTGCTGGGAAAGCCTCACCGCCTCGCTGGTGACATTGGGTCACCCCTGCTGTGCTCCGTCCTCCCTGGCGTTTCTGTGTTTGTCCTCTGTCCCCAGAGCAAGGAAAGGAGGCATCTAGTCAATGGAAAAAGCCTTCCAGCATCATCATACCCTAGCTGGCAGTGCAGGGATTTGTGATGGACATGTTGAGAGTCAGCCCAGGGTCAGAAGACAAACTTACCCATAAAATCATGATCTGAGCTTCCTGGTAGGCTTCTGGGGTTGATGTTTACGGGGAACCGAAGCTGGCAAAACAATTACACTCAAGCAAACCTGGGTAGGATTCCAGAGCATGTATTTCATGTGCTAATGTTTGCTGGATGACTCTGTCTGCTACCTCCTCCTCCAGCCCCCTAATTTCACATTTTCTTCCAAAAAAGGTTTCATGTTTTCCAAAGTGTTTATTTAAATTAGTCCATGAGCAGCTCTGGCTACTCTAGGTCTGCTCAAAGGCTGTGAGCTCATTTATCCCCAGAGGACTGGCAGAGTCGTGGGGGGAGTTTTATTTTTAAACACTGGCTGATTTCTGCATTCTTACTATCTGTTTGCTGCCTTCCTTGGAGCTGTAGTGGTGGAGGGGCAGGTGTCCCAACCCTGCTGCCACCCTCCAGGCTAATGTACAGCGGCAGTGGATCTCAGCTGGATAACTCGGGGGATTTATCATGGTGCTTCAGAGAGGACAATCTCCAAAGAGGGGGGTGATTGCTCCTTACAAGTTATTGTACAAATCATTGTACAAATGACTGCTGTGAGTGGGGGCAAAAGCTCTCTAAAACCAGACCAACAAGGGGGCAGTGACCACACCTGATGTTTCCTCTCTCTGTCTTGCCCCTGGGGCTGGGAGGACTGCTCTTTCCAGAGAAAAGCTTTCACCCCGTTCAGACCTCTTTGCCAACCGCTTTGGGTCAGAAACAGAAAAGTCACCCCGTTTGGTAGCCAAAGCATTGCTGCCCTGTCCCCGGGTGTTGTCTGACCGGGCTCTGCTCCTGTCCCACAGTCCTGGCACAAGTCCTGCTTCCGCTGCGCCAAGTGTGGCAAAAGCCTGGAGTCCACCACCCTGGCAGACAAAGACGGGGAGATCTACTGCAAAGGTGGGTGCCACCTTCCCCGCTGGCTTGTCCTGGGCTCCGAAGGGTGGAGGCAGAGGGTGAAAACCCCTGTGCAGGGAAGCAGGATGGGACTGAGGTTTGGGGAGGTGGTGGCCCCAGCAGCTGCATATGGGGGCTGGCTGTGCCGGCTGGCCGCGGAGCTGGGGGATTTCCCGCGGCGCCTGGGGCCTCTCTGTTTCCCCAACAAATACAGCAAACCCTGTTGTGTTTAGGCAGTGCCTGCTTCGAGAGGAGGACCTGCTCGTGTTCAGCTGCCAGACTTACCCGTCTCTCCCTTCCCATCCTCTGCAGGTTGCTACGCCAAGAACTTTGGTCCCAAGGGCTTTGGCTTTGGGCAAGGCGCTGGCGCGCTCGTCCACTCGCAGTGAGGCACCAGGAGCCAGGCTCTCCGCTCGCTCAGGGCTTGTCCAGACCAGCCTGTGCTGCCCGACCCTTCCCGCACCCGCAGTGAGCATCCTCACCATCATCAATAACCACCCGCTGCTTCACAGCACGAGCCCCTTCCTCCCTGCCCTGACCCAGCGCACCCTGAAGCTGTGGGAGTCCCAGCATCATCCCCATCGGGTCCTGCTGGTGCGGGTGCCGGCGGGGAGACAGCTCACACCCACCCGCAGCAAGGCCCGTGTGCCCGAAACATTCTACTCCGCGTTGCCCATCCTGCCGGGATGCAAGCTCAGCCGTGCCATGCCGTGTCACTGAGAAAGCAATAAACATCAAAGCTGATCCATGCCTGGCCTTTCTGGAGAGTTTATTCCCCATCTGGGGCTGAGGAGGTGCACTGGGTGACCAGAGCTGGAGGTCAGGAGGTAGAGGGAGGATGGGAGATGTTTGCAATCATGGCTTGCAAGTAAAGCGCAAGGGCAGGAACTGCTCGGTGCAATTTGACATGGCCCAGCTGTGGCCAGCTGAGCTCTGTGGGTCGGCTGGGCAGGGCTCTCCCCCTGCTCCCGCGGCGGATAACCATTTCAAAAGCAGCGGTTGATGCTGGGAGGCCCAGGACAGACCTTCTTGGGTGTGTCAGTAGCCCAACACGTGTGCACGCCCTATCGAAACCCCTATCAGTGCTTTTACGTGGCACCTCTCCAAACAGGCGCGCCCAGCAGTGCTGAATAATTAACAACTTTTCACCTAGTCCCTGGGTTTTTAGCAGTACCATGGATCATTAAGCTGTCAGTTTGGCAGCCTCCCAGATTTAATTCATTTTCATCTAAACTTCTTACTTTCTTTCTGTGATTCTGTCATTTGACCTGTGTGACATACCACAAGGTCAGCCTCACTGCAGCTTACAGTTGTGAACCCCACAGGGAATTTAGTTTTGGGGTTTTTTTTTTTTAATGTTATAAACTTTGTGGTTGAGTAAATGAGATGGATAGTGTTTTGAGAAGCACAACAGAGGCAGAAATCCTTTCGTGGGGCAGGATTTGGGTTCCTTTATCAACTTAAGCACTTTCTCCTGTTCATCACACCCTTGGTTTTTACACGACGTTTTGGAAGCTGAGATGGGGAGTGTGCTCTTTAAACATCTCCCAAAATCCTCCCCCCAGGTTTCCCAGCTTAGGACCCAAATTCTCTGGCCCCATTGCTCTGGGGTGTGTGGCTGGGGTTTGGTGAGGCGATAGGAAGATGACACTTTGTGTGTGGAGCTGACAGCCCAGGCTCAGGGATGCGGTAGTGGGTCAGGAGCTGTAGCGCAGCGGGCTCACGTACCACCCTCGGTGTGGAGACGGGGTGATAGGGACCAACATCCGCAGTGTCAGCATGGGGAGACCAGGATAGGCATCGCTGGGGCTGCACATCCAGACAGAGGGCATGAGGTGGGCTGGAGGAGGTGGTGGGGCAAGGCCCAGGAGAAGTGGAGTGGGATTAGGGGAGCTTTCTGGGCATCCCCTGTCCAAACTGCAGCGGGATGGCTGTGACCATCTGCTACCCTCTGCTGGTTTACTGCTCCTCGTGCACGGGCACGGCCTCGCCTGGTCAGCCAGACGTGTCTGGACACCTGCACCCAAGTGTTGTCCAACTCCCTTTAGAGGCAGCAGAGCCGCATTACACCCAGCAGCACCCATCCCTCCCTGCTGCTGGCGTGGGGGGGCTGCCAGCCCTTGGGAAGGGGGCTGTGGGACCCAAACCTGCCTCCGAAGAGATGAACGAGAGGGTCGGCTCATGGCCGAGCACCCTGCAGCCCGGAGGGTGGTGGTGATGGTACCACTCTGAGCGGTCAGACTGGAGCCCTCTGAGCCCCAGGGCCGGTGCTGCCGGGGGATCTTGCGGCAGGGGGGGCCACACCACCACTGCCCCATCCCGGCTGTGAGCGCTTTGTGGGAATGAGCCAGCCTGGGGCAGGACTTTGCTCCACCTTTACAGCTACGGGGGTGCTTTGGGGACTTTCTCTAGCGCTTTCTCACACGTGAGCAGTACGTCTGTATGGTGGGGTGTGTTTTGGAAGCTGCTGGGGCTGGGGGGGGGTTGTGGGGGGGGGGGGTCCCCCCCCACCACTGCCCCATCCCGGCTGTGAGCGCTTTGTGGGAATGAGCCAGCCTGGGGCAGGACTTTGCTCCACCTGAGCCCCAAGCCCCGGCAGCCCCCTTTACCCGCCCACAAGGGCTCTGTGTGGATGGGATGGGCGCAGGGACCGCAGGCAGCCCACAGCGCAAAGCCTTTTGCTTGCTGGCAGCCTGACGCAGTGCGTCCTGTTGGATTTGCTGGAGGGCAGGAGCTGCGGCGTCAGCCTCCCGGGCAGCCTCCGGCCCTCCAGGTCTGGGAACGGCCGGCTGGGGAGAGAGGAGCAGAGAAAGACTTTGTCAAAGCTCCTTTACATCCACAGCTATGGGAAAATGACCTTCCCTTGGTGGCTGGAGCCCGGAGAGGCAGTGAGCAGCGGAGCTGGGGCCTCAGCGGGGAGGGGTTTGGCAGCCCTTGGCTCTCCCCAGGGTGGTGAGGAAGGAGACCGGGCTGGCTGGTGAACCAAAAGTGCCCACAGACATCCCAGCTCGCCAGAGCAGAGCTGGGACTGACAGTCCCGAAACTACTCACCCCCAAATTTCCAGGGCTCAGCATCCCTGGAGCTGAGCTTTACCCATGTGTGGGAAAACAGCCTTAGGTGCTCCGTCGGGGTGGGGAACCCACACATCTGCTCTGCTCCTCCTGAAGGTGCTGGGGTGCTCGGGGTGACCTCCAGGGCTGCGCTGGCCCCCCTGGCTGTGTCCGGCCCCGCACTGCCTTTGGCTGTGGGGGCGGCGAGGGCCACAGGGGAGCTGGGGCCACCTGACGTCGTGAAACTGGGTCTCCTGGGACGCCCGGGATCTCTGCCAGCGTGGTGAGGTTGGCCCCGGGGAGCACGAACCAGTTCCTGGCTCCGGCAGCCGCTGCCCTGCCCTCTTAATGAGGGATAATTAGGTGCATCTCATCGGTGCTGCAGACTTGCCCCCCGGCCACGCCGGCTGCAGGCAATGCCCTCGGCAGGGACCAGGGACGATGGAGGGGCTGGGGCAAGAGGGGCTCCAGCTGGGAGGCACTGGGGGAGTGGTTGGGGTCTGCAGGGACACGAGCAGGGTAATTCGGGACGTGAGCGCTGGGGCAGCGGCTGCATGCCAGGGAGCCGCAGGCCGACCTGTGGGCTGCCAGCCCCAGATGGTGACCCCAGCGTGTCCCCGGGGGGATTTTTTCCCCTTCCAGACCTCTCCTGGGCAAACGGACCCGCACGCTCAGCATCTCTGGGGGCACATCCAGCTGCCCAGCAGGCTGTGACCATCACCCCCTTTGGCAGTCCACGGCCAGCATGAAGGCCCCAGATATCCCCACCAGTAGCCTGGCATGGCACGGTGAACCCCTCTGTGCCAGGCGCTGGCACAGGAACAGACGAAGCTGCGGTGGCTGGGAATGAGACGGGCTGGAAAGGAGATGTGTGTTTCATGGCAGGGGAGAGTGGACTCACGCAGGACCGGGCTGTGCTGTGCTGCCCCGGCCCTGCTCCAGGGGTGTGCGTCCCCCCTGCACAGGTCACACGAGGCTGAGGGATGCTGATCCTCGTTGTGGGACAGGCTGGGGGCTTCAAATCCCTGTCCCAGGGGATTTGGGGGACGGGAGCTCTGTGTGCTGAAGGCTGGGCGGGTGATGGGTGTCAAGGGCTGTCCCCATTGCGGCCATCTCAGAGTGGTGACACCAGATATCTCCTGTCTGCATGTGTCCCCCCCTCCCGGGCCCCCATCCAGGCGTCCCCACAGCCCCTGCCTGGCTGGTGCTGCACCCACAGCCCCCTGCCCCTGGTGGCACTGCACCCCACAACCCTCTGCCCTGGCTGCAACTGCACCCCATAGCCCCCTGCTCCAGCTGGCACTGCACCCCATAATCCTCTGCCCTGGCTGCAATTGCACCCCATCGTGCCTTCCTGGCTGGCACTGCACCCCACAGCCCCCCACCCCAGCCAGCACTGCACCCTATAGCCCCTTCCTGGCTGGCATTGCAACCAGAGCC